CTTCTTCTCAATTGCTTCCTGGGACACGGATTTTCGCTTGTATTGGCAAATACCAGGCTTCTGTTGCGGACGTTATTTTTGCTCGACGGAGTGTTTTGGTGTTTGGAGGAATTTATAAATATGGCCCAGTATGGTTTTCCTCTATCTGTCTCATTTACGATTTCCCCTAAAACTCTTTCAGCCAGCCATCCAACGTCAAATAACGTTTAGGCACTTACGGCTTCAGTGACATAAAATCAGGTGAATCATCTAACGCTGGCGGGATATTCATTAAGAATTCGTGCAAAGGCCATGATGAAATTTGACTTGGTATTTTAGCATATATTTGGTCTTGATCGTTTCAATGCTCCTCAAAATTTTGGTCTTCCAGAGTTCTTCTCTTTTATAAGGGTACCCATCCGCTTGTACTGTGACCACGAATACTTGACCGTTCTGATAGATGTATTTACAGCTTAAGCAACGTCCACTCACTTTACCTCAGCCTCCATCATACTTATAACTTAAGCTCTTTCCTCTGAGCTTTGCGCCATCATTGTGTAAGAAATAGGTTTGCAAACAAATCATCAAACAATGAACTTGAGTAATAAATAAGTATTATTGCTGAATATATAATTATAAAAAGTATCGAAGTTTTAAAAGGTGCAAATAGATGACGTAATAACGCAAACGCTGGAGCCTGGGACGCCTTTCTCGTTACGCACGACAATTTCTTTCCACTCTTCGTGACATGTACGTGTAAGTTATTACTCTCAATATGCTGAACCGGCTGGAAATTTTGCAATTTTTAGTTTACTTTATAAGCCAAGAGCTGTGGAACAACAAGACACATGTGTTGGACGCCTGATTTACATAAGGTACGTACACACACAAGGAAGTAGCCTTTTTTTACAAGGATAATTAAAGCAGCTTGTACACTCACCTCAAACACGTTTTCCGAAAAGAAACTGACCAGTTCAATAAAAACAATGAATTCGAAAATCGACACGTAATTCGGTCTGATACCAACCGCCACTGTGTAGGCATAGAAAACCACGAAGGCGAAGTAAAATAGCTACAAAGGAAACATAACAATACATCAGTAAATTGTGGGGGCGGGATGGGTGTCCTCGTACAACTAACCCAACAAAATAGTTAATTTATAACGGCTACTTATATAAAATCAGCAGTGCATATTATTTAGAGTGGATGTACCGCCTTACTGCGTGCGTGTAGAACTTGGTGATTGGTGCATTATAGAATTTGCGAAACTTTTCACAGCACGTTGGTTGTCGTTTTTTCTTCTTTTCCGGTGCCTGTTCCGGGGCTTTGAGCGCCAGCAGCGCTGG